TTTGAAGCAGAGAGTCGGGGAGACTTGAACCTTTAATGCAGTTTCCTTTACTAGAGAAGCCCCAGGTACCAGGCTGGGACCACCTCGCCTGGGCCAGGCTTAGGGACCTTTGTGAGTTCTGGGACCTGTACACATTCTCCCTCCTGTGGCACCTCTAGCAGATGTCACTGCAAAGTGACATGGGTATCAGAATTCTACAGAGAAGGCGTGGTAGCAGCTCATCTGAAATGGACAGCAGCTTTGGAGGAGGTCTTTCACAAGGCATTCATAAAAATGAGTTTTCTCCTTAAGATGGGCACATCAAATGAGAATCAGGCCTTGATTCTGTACTGTTACATAATCCAAGGTCCGCACATTTGCATGTGTGAGATTGTGAGGTTATAGCTGTCAAGACCAGGTGTTGGTAGCATCTCTTTCCTTCCAGAACAACCTTCTTTGGAAACTTTACATCTATTTGACCACTATTTAATTATCCTGTGAATACGGGTAGTTATTTTAGTACAGCATTGCTTTGACTAAATGCAATAGAATTTTATTTTCCAGGGAATGAATATAATAAAACCTCCTACTGCATTTGGTGTGCAAGAAGCAGATTCTCTTTAGTCAACTAGATTTGTTTATAAACAGGTGATTACTTAAAATGGTCTCATAAAGGGACAGAGTTAAGACTTTGGGTTTAAACCTACTTAACATCCGTGTAATTGCATGTGCCTTTGAGAGGAGAAAAGCTGTGTCCTTTTCATCGCTTTGCTTCTGATTTGAGAGCTGTTTATTTGTTACTGGCACATCTGAACTGCTCCTGCACTTGGCCTTGATTTTTTTCATTCTTTGAACAATGAATGCCTTTATAAAACATGTTACACAGAATCACAATGATACATTCACACCCCATTTTGCAGTGCTACTGAAGTTCAAAGAAGTTTTAAATACTTGCAAGGGTTGGGGATATATCCTGAGAGATGGCATATGTAATAAAATATGATCACTAGCAAAGTGAAGTTCCCAGAGACCGATGGAAAGTACTAGTGCTAAGTGATTTGCAGGAAGAGCGAGTATTTAGGTAAAGGGATTCCTTTTTAACCCTGACATGGCCAGGCCACCCCAGACATGCAAGTCAGCCTCCTAAGGGGCCTGTTATGCTGGGTGTGCTCCATGGCATTAAATTAAATGGTATTAAATTATTCAACCTTTGAATGATTCCATCCATCATTGATGGAGAGGGGGTGAAATTATTAGTCAAATGACTAATACCTACTCTGAAACGCTTGTGATCTAGCCTCTGTTATAATTTACAAACCAGTTTGTCACTCTCTAGTTTTAAGTTCTGCCTTGGGTTTTTGCTGACTTTTCAGTAACATTTGAACCTCTCACTGGTCTACAAGGCCTCACATCATCTGACTCCTGCAGCTGTCTCTACCTTCACTGCCCATCTCACTTCACCAGTTGCTGTGGGTTACACAATCCCACTCACACTGCAGCCTTTCCTTTGCTTTCTGTCCTCTGCCTAGGATGCATTTCCTCCCACCTCCACCTTCATCTTGTCTTTTTCTTATCCTTAAGTCTACATCCTCAGAGAGTTTCTGTTAGTAAGTGAATATAAAATGTTCTCTGAGATGCCCATCTCACAATGACCACAGACAGTGAGTGTAGGCATGTCCCTGTTGATCTTGCTTCCTTGTGTGTTTCCTGTTCACCCCCTCCCGCAGCTGTGATCTGTATGAAGGCTAGGTGTTCTCAGTACATAAGGTTCCCTGAGACCCAGATGCAGTGTATGGAATTGGACCAGCACTCAGTAATTATCTGGTGAGTGAGTACATAGATGAAAGACGTTCAGATAGGTCAAAATTGGGGTGCATATTGAGTTAGGGTGGCCAATTGGGCTTCATCTTCCTAGAAGAATAAAAGAAGGTATACCATTAAATGATGTCTCTCAGATGAAAGAGAGATAACTCTAACTCAGTCTGTGACCTTGGGAGGAAGAAGCAAAGAGGGGAGTCTGGAAAGTTATAAGAATAATCAAAGATAATAGAAGAATTCCGGGCCTGCCAATTGGTGATCAGTGGGAAGAATCAGTTCACAGGACAGAGGGGGTCGTTAGCAGTGTCCAGGCTACAGAAGATCCAAGGGTGTTGAGAGTAGTACACTGAAATTTCATGAGGGATGTCACAAGTGAGTTTTGAATGGACCATTGTAGTAGACCTCTGAGAACAGAAAATTCTAGGGCTTGTCCAGGATCTGGGAACACTAAGCATCCATGAGAGCAATGTTAGGCAACAAAAGTGGGCTTAATACAGGGAAGCCAAGATGGTCTTTCCTAGGAGAAAAGACCAGGACCCCCAAGGTAGCAAAGAGCATGATAGTCAACATACTGCTGAAAGAAATGGGTAGGAATGAAATTCCAGGGTGGGGATGGAGCAAGAATATGAAGGACAGTGGAGCATGTACTTAGAGGCTGGAAGGAAGGTGGGTGCTTGGGTGCAAAACAACACAAGTGGAGGCAAACCCTGGCCCCAGGTGCAGTATTTTTCTCTAAATTCACACTGTCAAATCCTGATCCTAGGGCCATCAGGATCAGAATCGATGTTGATGCTTGTTAGAAATATAGATTCCTTGGCTGCACCTCTGACTTCCTGAGTTACAGTCTGCTGGTGGGAGACGGAAGGATCTGTACTTAGCTTCAGAGTGGCCTTGCATGTGCACAGGTCTGAACATGATCGCTGGGGGCATGGGTATGTGTGTCTTTCACTGAACTCAGCTAGGCTGAGGCATCTGTTTCTTGTTTCATGAGGTCTCCGGGCTAGGCAGGGTCTTTTATGGGAGAGACCAGAGGGTTTGTGAGGCTTAAATTGTAAACAGTTTTGGGTAGGCGCTGTTTTAAGAAAACCAACTAAAAATAAAAGCTTCAACTTAAGTACATGAGTGTATTTAGAATAAGAAAGAAAATGATCCATTTTTAAAAGATGACCTAGCATAAAGTCCAGAAAAATAGTGTGAATAATGAGCTGTCTGACATACTTGTTGTACACTTTTTTTGGTTGCATATCCCGAGTGTCTCTTTGTGGGATCGTATCAGGACCACCACTTTCAGTACAGACATTAGTGCAATACTTGCCTTTTCTGGAAATTTCAATAGAACTTAGTCTTTTGTTATTGATGGGTGCAATGTGAAAAGCACACAACTTTACAGACAGAATATAGACACCTGGGAACACCCCCTGCAAACACCAGAATTCTAATTAATTCTGTTTTCTATGGTTCCATAAACAAAGGAAAATGAGGTGGTGCTTTACAAGCGTATGTGTGGAAGTGAGCTGATTGTTGACAGGAGAGAATTTCTGTTTTGACTGGGTGTCAATGAGTATTGAATGCTATACCTGAAATTTAACACATCTGATGATTAGAGCAAAATTTCCAACTTGCTTCTGGCTCCTCTGCACCCCACGTATTTCTGGAGCCGGCCATCCTAGTGCACATCTGCATTTCATTGTGGCCTTGGGTCTATGTCTTCATGACACCATGCTCAGTGAGTTGGCAACAAGGTCGTAGAATTTCTGGAAAACATCCCTGCATCCTGAGAGCTAGCAGTTACGTAAGGCAGGAAAGTGCCTACAAACCATGTAAAATTCTCTCTCTCCAGCCAAATTATAGGAGCCCCCAATTCAACTTCCTGTTAGTTGGAACTACTATGTGGCCCAATATGAAGACACATTGAAAAGGCACTAAGTGCTTGCAACTTAGTGGTGGGTGTGGTAACAGTGAAGATGTGTGAGCCTTTTTGTCTGAATCATATACAGTGTTGCAAGCCAATGTTATCCCAATAAACTATGTATGTGTGTGTGTTTGTGTATCTGTGTGTGTGTGTGTGTGTGTGTATATATATGTATATATATAAATATATATGTGTGCATATATGTATATGTATATATATGATACAGTACTAAAACCATGAGCATGCATTAAAGAGGCAAAAAAGAGGGAAGGCAATGTCTTAGATGCAGTCAAAACATCTTACTTTATTAAATTTAAAAAAAATGTCTGTTGCTGTTACTGTATTGCCAACACTCTTCCATGAAACTTCACCTTCATCCCCCAGACTGCATGTCTGGGAAGTACCAAGGAGAAACACAGATTAGAGATTGCCTTTCTTCTTACATGTTTTTTTTTTTTTTTTTTTTTTCATTTCAATGTGTTTCATTTTAACTAGAAAAAGGACCATACTCAGCAGATCGAGTTTTCCCTTTCTGTGCAGGATTATTAATAACAGATGGGCCCACTGTCTTATGTTTGGCTGATAAGCTTCCTGCTGTGATCATCTGTACACACTTGCTCACCCACTTCCTCCTGTCAGACTTCAGGAACCACTTTACGTGGTTGCATGGCAGTGATGTAGGCCGTCTCTACAAATGCACCCTAAACTCCTCTATGTATTTGAAACTTCTCTGCCCTCCAGTAGCTCCTAAATAATGGTGTGTGTGCATTGTATGTCCATCAAGTCTCATTTGCACTCTGAAATAGAAGGACAATCAGAATTGTTACTGTTGCCACTGAATAGCTGAGCTGATTTCTCCCCACGTAAATGGCCTCAATAGCATTACTATACTACCAAGATGAACAGCTGGAGTTACATTATTTTCTGAGACAAATTCTAAAGTCATCCCTTCCCCCTCCAGCACCTGGATGGGTCTCTGAGTGTTTCCATCACTAAGATTTTTGAATCCTAAGGGTCCCTTGGAACTAGGATCCCCAGGGGTCCTTTCCTCCCCTGATGTGTGTGGATGGGATGTCTCAAACATCCCATTAAATGAAGTGGCTAAAACAAGTCCAGAGGAACCACTTCTGCCCAGAGAAGATGGGCTTTTAGAGTTGTCAGAAGGGTGGAGGGGTACAGACAGCAGCAGTCAGATCTCTGCATCATTGCTTTTCTACCCTTTCTTTTTTGTTTTTCCTCCCACCCCCAGTAGTTTAATGTGAGCACGTCTCTCTCACCTCATTTGCTGCAGATGCCTCAGGAACAGTACACTCACCACCGGAGCACCATGCCCAGCTCCGAGGGGCCACAGGTATACAAAGTGGGCATTTACGGCTGGCGGAAAAGATGCCTGTATTTCTTCGTCCTGCTCCTGATGATTTTAATCCTGGTGAACTTGGCCATGACCATCTGGATTCTCAAAGTCATGAACTTCACAATTGTAAGTAAAGCCACACGGGTTTCTTTGGCTGTCCTTGGGGGAGTGATAATAGAGGGCAAAAGGAATGTAGGAAAGCCACGGGAAAGAGGATTCAAAATGTACCACAACCTGATGTTTTGGCAGAAAGGCATTTCCGTTCAGTTTATGTACATGGCTCAATGTCTGTCTCATCTCTGCTCTCAGAGGCTAGTTCAGGACAGAGACTTCTCCTTGGTGGTCTCGTGGATGCTTTTCCTCAATGCTGATCACTGTGCATCTGCATCTTGTAGTTTATAAGCACTTTGAGTGAATATTCCAGGAAGAAATAGGGTATGCATTCATAATCTTAAGTTTTCTCCATTTGAGTTGTGCCCATGAAAGGTGTGGGGAGGTTGAGGTTTGAAGAATCTCAGTAAAATTCAGCTTTGGGGAGTATCTCCCCATCACTGCTCTTCCCATGTGGGAGTCAATTACTCAGGGGCATTGAAAGTCAGAGTTGCCTCAACTTGTAAGAGTGAAGTCTTCTTGGCTGTGGCCTGGGTAGGATGGAAATGAGAGTGGGTAGCCATGTTGCATTTTTAAGAATTTGAGCACTTGCTTCTTTGTCAAAATCCTTGCTATTTGTGCTTTGGGTTATGATACAGTTGAACATTTCACATGCTGAAATTCTCAAGAAAAGTGTGGCAAGATGACTTTGGAGTTATTCTGAGATTTTGCCCCATGGATTCTGCTCTATACTGGCAATATAAGTAATTTAACCCCTAAGTTAAGTGAGCATTAATTTAACCCCTGGTGACTGTTATCAGAGTGCCCTGGGCAGAGGGTCCTTTCTTGCTCTGATGTCAAAAGCAAGTAGTTAGATGGGCAAAAAACCAAAATCTTGTTTGATGAAGAAATAGGACTGTAACCAATTAACAGTAAGGATTTTTAGGTGAAAATTCCAAGTTTGATAGAGGACATTTGCCTTTCCTGAATGATATAGTGTACTTTACCCTGAGTACACTCCATTTACTGCTTTGCTGGTGTGCGCCAACCATTTCTTCTCCTGGGGATGTTTTTCTCCTCCTCTGCCTGGTAAACCAGCCCCCACTCCTTTGATGGTCCTGTAGCTCAATTTCTGTGTCTGTTATTATACTTACCACTCCAGATAATTGTGTGTGTGTTTCTTAGGTGCACTGAGAGGGGTGGGGCTGCCTTTTCTCTCTGTGCCTTTGTCACTTGGGGTTCTGGTACTTGACTTAATTAGGACTCAGAGTTAGAGGTGCTGCTTCAAGCAAGGACACAGTCTTGTCAAACATTCCCTAAATCTTGTACATTTATTCCTTGAGATGAATAGGTCATATTCTTTCCAATGTTCAGCAAAGTTCTGTGTAGTGCCAGATGATGTTTGGAAGATATTCAGGTCCATTGCCATGGAATGGCCAGGGTCTAAAGTGATAGGTTCTAGAGTCTTGGAGCATCTAAGCCTCTGTTTCTGAATCTGACTCAGTAAATATTTTTTGAATGTAGACTGACTTTCTTGATTCAGAGAAGTATGTTAAGCAGGTGAGAAAGAGGTGGTAGGATGTGCTGTTTGGCTGAACATGAAATAGAATAGCCAGAGCAACTCAGTGCACTGGGCTCAAAAGTGTGTGCTGACCCATTTGAGCCAAAGTGCAAATGTCCACAGTTGTCATCTGTGGATAGATGTGTATGTGATATTTTTATTTTGTATTTTACAAACTCATAACATAGAAATATTCTGCATTACAATATTAAATTGGAGAAGACTGAAGTTTGTACTGTAGAATCAAGAATAAAGATTCAAACATAATTAACAGGGCCTCCCCGGTGGCGCAGCGGTTGAGCGCTGGGTTGCGAAGCTGCCCGCAGCCTCTGCAGCGCCGGTTCGATCCCCGGCTGCTCCCCGGCCACCGGAGGAGGGCCCCACATGGCGCGCAGACCTCTCCTGCCGCCCGCTGCTCCCCTCAGCAGTGTACTTCGGTCCTTCTGCCTGCTCTGCTCCCCGCTCTGGCTCTGGTGAATTCTCTCACCCTCCCACGCTTCTGACTGTACCCAGTGCATGTATAAACAAAACAAACAAACAAACAAATAAATAAATAAAACATGCCTCTATAAAAAAAAAAAAGAAATAACAAACATAATTAACACATAATGACTACTGGTAAGATATAGGAGTTGAGGAACTAGAAGACATCATGGTGCAACATTCTCAAGTTACATGGGGGAGCCCAGAAGCAAGATTGTATTAATTACTTTCCTTTTGGAACTTATGTAACCCCTGAATTCCTTATCTGCACTATTTTTTAAAAATTTTACCTAATGTGGCATAAGGTTAATTTATAGAAATTGAAAGATTTGTGGGTCAGAGTGGTTCACTATGAATTCAAACCTTGATAAGTATTGTATTATCCATATCTTTTTTTATTTTTTTATTTTATACATTTTTACATCATTTTTCATTTTTGCACAATGTATGCATTTTCATCTTGGTTATAGTCCCCATAAAATTCCCACCCCCCCTTATTTTGATCCTACTCCTGCCTTCCCTGCTGTAGTGTGTCTCTGCAACATGGATGGAGCTGGAAAGTATCATGCTCAGCGAAATAAGCCAGAAAGAAAAACAAAAATACTGGATGGTCTCTCTCATAGCAAGAATTTAGAAAACCTAAATAAGGGACCAGGAAATAACCTAATTATAATAAAGTAAAAATCAAAATCAACAAGCAACTATAAACCAAACATGTCTTATGCAGTGTATTTCTTCTGGCAAGGTTTGTGGTGAAAGATATATGTAAATGCAGCACATTGAGTGACAAGACACTCTGTTTGCATGTGAGCTTGGGGAGCAGTATGACACTAAGGTAATAATCTATATGAAATTGGCTATTTCCTGTAGTTAACTAAATTGATTGCCAATGCTGAGAGTTCTTAAAGCTTCACCAAACCAAGTACTTGCTGAGGTGAGAATAAAGCCATTAATAGCCATAATTGGTACTTTATAACAGTAATGTATTTGGGCAAATAGAGCTGAAGTGTCAGAAAATTGGTCTTTCCTTGCAAGTTAAAAGCATATTTCTATCAATCACAGTATAAAACACATTCTTCTGGAATTATAATTCTATTTTACAAATAATAATTTCCTGACAGTGGAGATCTTGAAAAAGGAGGAGGGACTAGCCAGTGTTGAGACTGCAGGAGGAAGACACAGTGGGAGATGAGAGATAACAGTTAAGCATTTGGAAATGTTGTCAATAGAAAAGAGTGATTATTGTGTACACCTGGATCGTTCCATCATTTGGAATTCGGGGAAGCTCACACTATAATCAGACCCTCCAAGTAATTGGGAACCAAGAGGATGATGTCATCTGAAAGTGTTTCTGAGGACTTGGCAAGTCAGCAAAGATCAAATATCCAGGAGTCGTCATACTTGCCCTTCGGCACCATTTTCAAGGATGTGCCTTGGAAGAGCCCTCCATTATGGCCATGTGGATAACCAACCAACTCAGCTTTCTGTGGCCTAGATGGAAACCAGAAGAAAAATGATTTTTCTCTCCTTTACTCTTAGCAGAATGTTCTGGTATTCATTACTAGGCAAGAAGGCAAGTTTATACTTTTCTCCTCAATTTTGCCAGCACAGTGTATTCTGTGATTTTCCTGCACTATTAGCACCATTAATTCCTCCTATCCCCCTTTCTTACACACTGTGCAAGAGAATGAATATTTATTAAGTGTTCTGCTCTAGACATCAAAAATAGCTCTGATTTAATTTTCAGAACAACTCTATAAATTAAGTATGACAATCTCTATGTTAGTCATAGCATACTCAAGGCTCAGAAAAGTTGAATGACAGAATGAAAAACACACAGCTAGTAAGTACAGGAGCTGCTATTTGGGTTCAGAGCCCAGACCTCACCAAATCTTGGACTTGCTCCCCCTCCTTCCTCCACTGGTCTGGACTCCTCACCAGAACTCTGCAGGTGGCAAGTGGTTCATCATCTTTGTTGCCCACCCTACATCATCTGTCACAGATTTCCTGCCACGGGAGCTACCCAGTGGAGGTTCACTTTGAACAATCCCCTGGTGGCACTGCACTTGAATCCTTCTCACATATCTCTTGGCACTGTGGCTGTCATCCACTGTCTGCCTCCTGCTTCATCCCTTGTGCTAATGTAAGCATTGCATAGACCCTTAATAAATATATGTGTCATGGGTCAGTACAAGCACTCATGAGTTAGTTCATGTTTTGCATATAGAACAGCTTCTGGTCTTTAGAAGATTCAGGTTGGCAACGGAAAGTCATGAGTCCCTACATGGCAGTGTAGCAGTTAAGGGCTCAGATTCTGGAGACAGATGTTCTAGCTACTAATCCAGTTTCCATCATGTACTGGTTGACCTTTGGCAAATTTCTAAATCTCTCTGTGCTGCCATTTCTTAGGAGTAATAGCAATGCCTACTTCATAGTATTGTTGTAAGGCGTTAATAAGGTGATGGATATAAAGTACTTAGCATGGAGCTTGGCACCAACAAAGTGTTGTGTGTTTGCCATCATTGCTATAAATTATTGTAGGCTCATGTTGTACCAGGCTAATGATGCTATTGGAATTATTTAGTATCTTGTACCTTAACCTGATGCAGGTAGGTTCTATGATGATGCCAGTTCTGCAAGGAGGGAGAGGCTCTGTGACTGGATTTGTAGTTACACAGCTATGAAGTGTCAGGGTACACATGTGTATCCCAGCAGTCTAAGATCTGGAGCCTGGTCTCCCAGCCAAAGTGTTATATTGCAGGGTAGTGCAAATGCCCTCGAGTGAGATTCAGGGCCCTGGGGGCTTAGGGGACCAGGACCTTCATCACCTTCTAGGTCACACTGTAGAGATGAACACATTGAGCTACTTCGAGTCAGAGTGGCATCTCCCTGTTTGAGCACTGAGGGTTTTTTTTTTTAGGGGTTTGCCTGGACTTTGTGGAATCTCACTCTGTGGAGGCTGCCATTTCTGCCGGCACACATTCCAGCAGCC